TTATTCCGTTTAATAGGCAAAAATAACAACTAGATGGTGTCTACACATACAGGAATATTGAAACCATTTTATGTAATGGATATATTTATTATCTATAATGTTTGGGGTTTTTTTACATTAAAAGTCACTTTTGCACACATTATTTTATCTTTAAATGTCAGATACACATGTTTTAGTACATTCTCATATTTTAATATTCTGTGGGGTTTTTTTAGATTGATTTTGGGGCTTTTTGCGTTTATTTGAAAGAACAGTGGATAGTGTAAGAAATCTGGAGAGAGAGGGGAATGACATGTAAAGAAGCAGCCCCAGGTAGGACTTGAACCCTGGCTTCCCGCTTGGAGTATAGACTACGTGCATAAGGTGTGAACTATCAGCTAGGCCATCTGTGCCCCAATGTGTCGTTTTTTTGTGCCTAAATATTTCTTTATTCGCTGTTAGATGTTGTGCATTGACTGAGCTTGTGGCTACTGTAACAAAGATATTGAATGTTTACATTAATGAAGCTTCTATCTATCTGTCCATCGGTCCGTCTGTCTGTCTGTCTGTCCGTCCCTCCGTCCATCTGATCTCCGTCCGTCAGTCAGTGTAAATTGCTGTTTTCAGTTTCCATGAATCTAATAAAATAGGAGAATAGATTCCAGTTGTTACAACAGCATCACTCATCAGGCCGGAGTAAACAGAAGACTGTGCTGGAAGTCTTCTATTTGTAATTATCGTGATGTTGAGGGGGCACAGGGGGCATTTTATTTTCTGTCTGATGATTGAATTCTGCCTCCCTCCTGTGCTGAGTTGTATTTCGGTGCGTGACCACGAGCTTTGTGGTTTTCCAACCCTCATGGGACCAATTCCCATTATTTACTTGACTGTGACCCCGTATCATGACCCCTCAAGTCTCTCAATCTCCAGGAGCCTACTTTTAAATTGCCCACCTAATGGCTACCTGCATTTTTACTCAACTGTAATAAATGCTCCAATTACGCTGATGGTGATGGAGACGATTTTCCTATGATAGAAAGGCTGATTGGATCTCCCACACTCCATTTCACTTTAGGCATTCCCACAGACCTGTGGTCAGCACTGCATGTTTGGAGGGATCTAAGCCTCCTCCACTTGTGGTAATGCACCCCTCTCAGTGCACCAATGAGGTGACTTCAAAATTAAGTGCTTGAAATAAATGAATTCATTCTGGCAGAAATGTGTCAAATGACCTTTCCGCTGCTCATTACACATGGTGCACATTACACCAGAGAAATGCTCCTGTTGTCTGGGCTCCTTTTGTTTCCCCTTTCCTCTCTCTCTCTCTTGTCAAAGAGGGAATGGTAATTAATTGAAATTATTTCCATGTACAAGGATTTGTAGATCTCTCCTCAAGGTGTCACTAGGTTGATAGATATTTGGGGTTCATAGGAGAGTCAGGTGATAAGAACTCTGGTCATACTCTGCGAAATGAGTGCCAAAGCTCCATAAAACCAATTCATGGGCAGCAGAGGCGTTGGAGGGCAGAAAGTAAAGACAGAGGGGGGTATTGTCCCAAGCCGGTGATATTCTGACAGAAGTGACGGTGGTCACTTTCCACAGAAATTGAAATGTTTTGGATCACTCAAGACTGGGCACATTTTTTCATTTTCTTCCCTCTTTTCCCCCCTCGTGAAAAGGCTGTTTGTGAGAACTGAACAGTCTCCTTCCTTTGAGGTGGTATCCTCCTGCTTGGCTGAATGAAGGGCATTTTACCCAGCTCTGTGCACAAGCAAGGAGAGCTTATCCTAATGCAGAGGCTGCCTGCCTGCCTGTCTGCCAGCCAAGGAGAGATGTAGCTTTAAGAGGCCCATACATGGTGTTGATTAGTTTTACTGAGCTGGTATGCAGAGTCCAATAAATTAAAAATGAATAAATTAAAAATGTACTCTAGCAGAAAATTGCTTGGAAAACAACCACCTCCCCATTAAAATATGTATAGTAATGCCTTTTATGTGAAGTAACTCGGGATTAGATATCACTGTAAATTAACACGCCATCCAACCGTAGTCGAGAACTTTTCAATTTTAACAAGGAGTTATAAAAGGGGTATTTACTCCAGTGTGTTCAGTAATTAATTTGATATTCAAATGAGCTTACAGTACGTATTATAATTGCAAATATTCCAAATAAGAGTAGTTTTAAAAAGGGGGTAATGTCAACAGAGATTGATGAGGCTTGCTTTGAAATTGCCATCTGTTTCAAATGTTTACTTGGGGTGGGGTTTCCCCCCTCCCTTTTCTATGGAAATAGAGGCATCATGGTTGCCCCTGCCATATGTATGTGTTATTTTATTTCATTTTCTAGGGGGGGCGGGGGGGGGGGAGACATCCAAACACCAACATGTGCATCTCCACACACAAACATTGAAGGGGATCAGGAACATCAGCATGTGTGATGAGCTCCAACAGATAACGTCTCTGCAACATTTCCATGACATTGTTGTTGTGTTACCTCATTACCACAATGTCACAGAAGCAGTGTGAGGATGTTGTGTTTGGGGGTGAGGATGGAGGTGAGTGCAGGGGCTGGGGGTAAGGGGGGAGGGGGTCCAGCTGCAGGTATCGAGCCTCTGCAGATGAGCTGATTAATTAAAGGGAGCTCTATTAAGGTTATTGAGAAGCACCCCCTCCTCCCTCCTCACTGGATAAAGGTGATTGGAGCAGAGGGTGGGCCAAGGTAGGGGGAAGCATCCTTGCCTCTTTTGACATTACCCAGCGTGTACCCTCTTCGCACGCCCCACAACTCTCACCACAAGTGCCTCTTTGCACCCCACCTTAGCTTTGCAGGGGTGACACTCTCTTCAGGCTCCAAAATGGGGCTGCGGAGTTTTAATCCCCCGTAACCCATCAAGCCACCCACCCTTACTTCCATCTGTCAGGAGCACTGCTGGAGGAAAAAGGGGGGGGGGGAGAGGTTTTTGGGGAGGCAGGGGGCGCATCCCATGTTCCATCCCAACGAATTTTCTAATTTCCTTTGCCTCCATGCTTTGTCCCAAATTCACGCCCCTAACCTACCCACCATACAGCCTCTCTTGCTCTGTCCCCCTCCCATCCCACCTCTTCTCTGTTTTTTTGTTCCAAAAGAGAAAACTGGGGCTTCTGTGGGGTTTCAGCAATACAAGCTGATAGTTTTAAACAGCAGAACCTACTGTCAGCATACATAAAGACACTGATTCCTGTAGATTTTCATGATGTGTTTCAGTCTCTTTACATTTGTTCCACCTCTAGTCATGATTTACAAGAACCCCTATGATTTGCTCTAGGTCATATTCTGCTTGCACAAGTCAATTTGGAGGATTTTTTTTCTTATTCTTTTGTTTCCTTGTAATTGATCAAGACAATGAGGACCATATGCTGAAATCTCATCTCCTCTTCTGACAAAAATGACACATTCAGGAGGTTGTCTAAACAAACTTCCAGTGTGGGTGCTTAAAGGGAAATGTAACTTAAGTTAAACGCTGTGTTGTTTTTTTAAATTATCAATATTTGTGGATTACAAAAAGACGGCAAAAGACGAATAATTTAACAATGTGCTTTTTTCTTTTAATGGACCGTCCAGACAAACAACATATTAATTAGTGACACATCACATGGACATCACAGTTTTAATGGGCAGTGACTCAAGCAATCAATTCTAATTACACATCATCATGCACCAAACTAGGTAGTAAGCTTTAGGGAGAGCACTCTCCTGTCAGATTAACTCAAGGAAAGAAATTCTGCAACTTACTACAGCTCCATCTGCTGTTTCCAGCAGACTGAGGAAGGCAGCGGTAGACTGTGTGTCAGTAAATGTTGCAGCGGTTTTGGCCTGCAGCTTGAATCAAAGATAATTCACTTTCCATCTTTTATTAAAAATCAATCTAAAAAAAGACAGTGAACATGTTTTGTACATTTCTACTCTGTATGTTAGGATACATCACTCCACATGAAGTAGTATACCTGGACAGAATTCAATAGAGGTTAACATACTGTGTGCACACTTTGAAGACCCTTATCCCTTCCCTGAAATATAGGAATACCTTTTTGAAAGCAGTTTTAACAAATTCACACTACATTTACACATACACATTAAAACACAGAGCCTGTGCAGGAACACGGAGCCACATTGTTGGCCCTCATTCACTTCAAGATGCAAATGGGTGGATTTGAAATTCAGCCTCTGTGTGTTATGCTTGGCTACTTTAATGTTGTATCTATGCCGGGGATTATTCTCTCTACAGCGGAAAAACCTGTGCTTGAATGGCAGTGCCCTCAAAGTAGCTCCTGCTGCTTTCAATGGCCTCCAAACGAGATTAGACCCGTGGCTGCCCTCAGTCCCAATCCTCTGCATTCAGACAGAGCGTAACCAGCCTGTGTGACACTTTCTCTGTTTTGACACTGAGTGGGAGCAGTCAGTGCATACAGGGCGTTTTAGAATTGAGAGGTCAGAGTGGGAAAAAGAAAACCCTTATTGCTGTTTTTGGTGTAGTGCAATGATGTAGTGCTTCTTTTTAGCATTTATCATAAGAAAAACATATATATTCATTTTATGCTATTTCAGTGAAATAAAATATGTACAATTGTTGTGACTCTGTTTTATTTGTAATGATATTTGGCACATCATACTTCTTATGTAGCTTATCTTTTGAAAGTATTCTGTTGCTACTATTGTGGATCTAAAGACATAGCACTAACCTGAACCTATTCTAAACAAAAGTTGCTTTTTTAAGAACAATTCAAAGACTCATTTTGTTGTTGTTTAGATGTTGAAAATCTCCTCGACCAAATTTTTCGACCCAAGTTGATAGGAATAATTATTACTATCAATGAATTGTAAAATTGCTTAAGTAGTAATCCCTGTCTTTGCTAACACTATGATAAAGTGTGAGCTTGCATCTTGGCTGCTAGACAATATTAAACAGTTGGCTGTGTAACAGGAAGTATTTGTCCTGCAGTTTTACCCTACTTCATGGGGATCACCCCGGGGGGGGGGGGGGCTTTTCTTTGGCACAAGAAACAGCTGACTCTCTGCTCCACTGGTCTCTGACTACTTTTTTTAACACCTGCATATTAGCCCCAAGTAATTGACACTTCTCTTGATGGTTTGTCTCTGTTCATCACAGAAAAGGTTGCACCATTCACAGTAGTTTAATTCTAATCAATGCTAAATCACAGAATTACATTAGTTCTATTCAGTGTATGCCACAGCTAATTCAGCTTTTCTCTTTTGTATTCTGTCTCTGGTTTACAAGAGCAGTCCTACTTTTAATGGTGGGAGAAGAGCTCCTTTTGTCAGAGGCTGATTTCTGTCCTGCACTGACGTCCTTCTTGTCCAGAGTTTTAGGCTGCTGTGTGCAGGGTTTCACGCCAGCATGAGACTGCAGGGAGAAGATTCATATTCATCTTACATAACAGAATTAATCGCATTCATATAAAAACAGCTGCATGGAAACACCTTCATTAGCATCTTCTGTAAGAGTTGATTCTGGCACCATCTAGTGGTGATTACATGTGAAACAGTGTGCACAGCATTAAAGATGCACAAAGGAAGTGAAATAAGACAGGTGTTTCTTAAATCAGAGACTGGTTGTACTCGTGCTTCTGGGGCTATGATTAAAACATATACAGTCAAGAAAATTGAACTTTCAGGGTCAACTTGTAGGAGTGCTATTGACCTGTGTGGGTGTTGGTTGTGGTGGTCCAGGGGTTTTAGAGCCGTTTTTGTGCTTGTCCTGTCGGATGCTGCCAACACCGTCTTTAGTCTGCATTTTCAAATACAAGGAGAACCCCCGATTTATTGTCTTCATTACCAATTAGAAAATGACAGAAAGTGTTATTAAGGTCACTTTAAAGAACACAGCATGAGAAAAAATATATAGATTAATAACTGATTCAGTGCAATGTTAAACGTCAAATAAATTCTAGAAAATCTAAAAAAAAAAAAATAGCTAATAACCTAATATCCCAGTAGCTATTTTTCTTCTAATATGATGGCCATGATCTGCCTGTTTTGGATTATTTAAGACAATTAATTATACTTACCCACATGAGCTTTTAAAAATTACATTTACTATAAATAAGGGCCAATAACCTCAAAAACTAACTTGACTGAGCTATTTAATCTGATTTCTGACACTAAAAGAAAACAGATATGCAGCCAAGGTGAAGTTTTTGTAGAGCTGTATCGAACAGTACCTGCTTGGTGGATGTGGAATGGCTGCAGAGCCTGCTTTCTCTGCTGGACTTTGGGTTGAGCTTAACCGGGCTCTTGTGGTTGCTGTTTGTTTTAGATGAAGCTGTTCTGGAAGATATGGACGGGTCCAGTGTGTCCTCAGAGGAGAGGGAAATGTCCTCCTGAGATTGTGTTCCTATTGTGGATGATTTTGAAATGACCTTAATATCAGGTACAGTATGTGGCTTTTAATAACTTATATAGCCATATATATCTCCTAGTATTTTATACTTCACAACCTCTCCTTTTAAAAGCAACAGTTTCTGAATGTCTGGTAGTTTCCTGTTAAAATGTTATTTCAGGACACCTCAAACATAGCAAAATATAGCAGTAAAGTAGGTTGAAGATAACCAGAAAAACAAACTTCCAACATGTTGAAACAGCTTTTCTCCCCCTCTGCTTCATCCATTTTTCCCCATCACTTAAATTACCTCTTAAACAATAATGTTTATAAAAATGATCCAATCATGACTTGGATTAAGTTATTTAAATGAAGTATTCATTATTGACTTACTCTCTTGCTTTTCTCTGTGATGACGAATCATCTCCAGCACATTGGACGGTAATGCAGATACATTAGTGTCACCCTGTCGGACAAAGCACCACATTAGAGCTCCTAATGTGACTCATTTGGTAAAGTTTATGAGCGCTGCTGGAACAATCGCTGTCTTACTGTGATCCAGGGGTTTTCTAGGAGCTGATTAGCAGACATTCGATAGGCGGGGTCCACCTTCAGAAGGCAGGTCAGTAGATTTTTTGCTGTTGGGACGGATACAAGATGATGGGTGAGTTTGTCTGTAACAATCTGAACAGTAATACTGCATTTTGACAACATCCTGTACTACCTGTCAACAAATCCACACAACCCTTCATTTCACTACACAAACCATGTATCCTTTTTGCAGCATTACATGTATTATGTATTTAATAATATGTGTCACCTGCATCACTGACGGTTTTCCACATGGTTTGGGTAAATTCAACTTCTTTGTTCAAAATTTCCTTATATAGTTCTGTCTTTGTCTTGGACCTGAATGGAGGCTCCCCACACAGCCTACAGGGACACACAGCACAGAAGAATGTATTTACAGTATCTGTATATTCATGTATTTTTAACTGTATGTATAGTACATGAGTGTTTCTACTTACAACATATACATGACAACTCCTATGCTCCAAACGTCACACCAGTGTGTGTAACCACGACCGCTCATAATTTCAGGGGCTGAAATTCACACACGGACACAAATGTATGGTTTTCTTAAGACTGTTTTCTGTTCATTATTGGTGCAACAGAGCATTGTTTCATCTTTATACCAACACATTTTCAAGGCTCAAGAGGACATTAGAAGTTTAGTAGCCACATGCTGTAGATGGCATTAATGCAAAAGAATAATTGGCGGCAGTAATAAGCTGTAATAGGCAGCATTGCAACAATTAAATCAAAATGACGAAAATAATAAAACTGCATGTGAGAATAATTATAATGTAGGTGCATGATAGCTTAACCTCTTGCAATTTAAAAATATTACATTGAGTGTACCTTAACACTTGCTGAGTACATTTATGTTCTGATTAGAAAGTACTTTGAAGTCTGTAATATTTACCAGCTAGCAGTATTTTTTCAGGAGGTCCAGCTTTGTGTTTATGCCACACAAATTGTATCTCGATTGAATCGATTTTTTAAGTTATATTGCACATGCCTTTTGCACAAAAAACCTAAATGGACTTGGTATGACGCTGTTCTAATCTTCTGATGACGCAAAACGCTTTTACACTATTCATCACGTTCACCCATTCACACCATATTCACACACTGATGGCAGAGGTTGCTCTGTAAAGTGCCCAAACGCCCAAGAGTAATTTCTCCATTCACACCCTGCTGTCATAGCTGTGACAGCAATTCAGGGATCAGTGTCTTTCTCAAGGACACTTCCACATGTGATTGCAGGAGCGAGGGATCAGACCCCCAAACTTCCAGATCAGAGGTGGCCGACTATACCATTAATCCACAGCAAAAGGATTGCTCAATAGCACCTCAATTGCTCATAAACATCATGAGATACCTTTGCAAAATAACATTTAGTTATGAAGCATACATTCCACATGCAAAAATACAATAACCGTCATATGTAGCAATTTCAAACTTTGACATAGAGCCTCCTCCCTGTGGTCATCTGCATGGCCTGTTAGCATGTTGGAGGAGATACCGGTGTCCTACCCATAAAGATAAGAGTCCCACAGCTTTCCGTCATTATGTTCTCAATGCCTACACCTCCCGTCTGCACTGATAATCCAAAGTCTGTCACCTAGGCAGAGAATAGCATTTAAGAAAAAGGTGATAAAAAAAGAACATGATTTAGATTAGCTAACACACCCATAATAAATTCTCTTTTAAATGTGCTTTCCAGGGAAACAAAGCCTGGCTAGGGCACCACTACGACCCGTGATAATTTACATGAACATCAACATAGCTGCTGAGGCTATATCTGGAAAGCCTTCTGACAGTATTACAAAAGCCAAAATCCCCCAAAATAGGCTAATTCCTGGGAAATAAAAGTCTTCTGTGCCATGACAACATATTCTAACATATACAGCATCTGAATATTTGTGTTTTAAGTGTGAGAAAAAGACGGAGAGAGACAGAGATGTTTTGGACTAGGACTTGTTAAACCTTGCACACCAGGTATCTGCTTTGTCTGCCTTTCTACAATGTACAATTTTTCTTAAAAGTACGACTGAGTTTCTCTTCATTAAGAAAAGATCTGGGTGAATAAGCGGTAATGAGGTTGTTTTAAAAGCTTTTATAAACATGTAAACTTTGGAGACATTGAAAATGTGATCATGAGAGGACTATACTCATTTTAACAAACTATTGTGAAGAAGCTGAAATGGAAAGTTTTGAATTTGATGTCAGCCTCTCACCTTGATATTAATCCTGTCACTTTCATCTTCACCGACAGCATTTTTCACAAGAATGTTTCCCAGTTTCAAATCCCGGTGCACTATATCTGTTAGATGTGATAAAGAATATTCATACATAGAAACAGTCAAAACTTATCTTAACAAATTTAACATGAATGTTTGTGACTCTGACATTTTCAAATAAGTTGCAATAGTCGATATTTGTGTTTAAAAAAAAAATATTAAAACAGATCAAACAGGTAACACGTGATTGCTAATAGCGATGAAACTAATGAAAAGTGCTTTCACACTGTTTGGGTCATACCTTTTTGATTCTCTCTCACTACTCTCATCCACCATGTGTGCAGCTCTGACAATCAGCAGTTTGAGCAAAAATCAATCCAATGTACAGAAAAACACTAAGCTTTCAATGGTGGTTCAAGTTGGTGGAGACCAAATCAGAGTTTAAAGGAAGGTGGATATAGAATGTACATTCAGAAACCTAAATGATTCTAGTGTTGGTTAATGTTATCTTGATTTGTCTCACCACATGAATCAAGGTAAAAGTGCATTATGTATTATTTAATGCAACTTAATATATCACATTATAAATGTAGGTAAAATATTCAAAATCTGTTCAAAAATGTTATCATTAAAATATTAACATAAATAAATCATCTGCTAACTTGTCATTGTTTTGAGTGGTTTGTGTTTTCTCCTTGTGTAACGTCAGAGGTTCTTACACAGTACGTATGTATAACTGTGGGAGGCTCAGTATGCTGCTACATAAACTGTTAAAGTCACCAGTTTTAATGCAGTTTTAATACAGCATTCCTGAGTTAAATGTTTATTTATCTGACGTTATTTGCCAAATATATTTCAATTAAGCATTATGTGAGTACTTTTACATCAAACTAACTGAATTTCCGGGGCACCGTGGCCTAGCGGTTCGGTTGCACCCCATGTACAGAGGCTACAGGCTACAGCTCAAGTCTGACCTGCTGCTCCTTTCTTGTCATCCCCCACACTGTCCCCAAATTAATGCTCTACCCACTACCTTTATTTAGATCCAAATAAGGCATAAACAACAAAAAATATATATATATATATTTTAATATTTTATCTCCCTGTAACACAATTCAGATGTCTAATGATTCATCCTGAACTTTTGGTCCAATTAAAAAAGCTATTTCTATGCTATGTTTGCTTCGATATGCCCACTTGTAACAATCAAGTCAAATTCATCCCAACATTATAAAGGATAGACAAAAATTCTTCACAGAGATTAATAAGAACAAACTTTACAAAGTGGGTTCACTAATACAGCCAGTGGAATGTGGCCATCTTTGAATATTCTTCGTCACCAGAATGAATAAAGAAACATGTTTTTCACACACTAACACAGTGATCTGTTTACCTTGTTTACAGCAGGCCAGGTTGAAGGGCCTCATTAACAAAACTTGGTGGAGTGAGAGCAGGCAGGAGGAAAAATACAATTTGCCCTGGGCAGTCCCTTTCACTGCAGTTTGAAGCAGGAAATTATAAAACGCAACAATGCAGATGGTGTGTGTGAAGGTAACGTTTGGCCAACTGGTGTGCCCAAATCAAACATAAGAAAATACTCCTTCATACATCTAAAAAAGACTAAAAATAAATAAATAATACATATTAAATAGTTCTAAATCACATTTTCTTATATTAAATTAATCTTTTCTATCTTTTTTGGACACTACAAAATCTCAACTAGAAATCATACTATTTCACAGGACAGCTGGATCTGCAGTTTAGTAACTGCACGACATGTGAATGTACCGTGTTGTTCCTGGCATGTTAGCATTGAAGCTGATGTTTGTGTCAAACAGTAACTCAAAGCATCACAAATGACGGAAACATTTTCCTACTCTGAAAACACTCAAACAAATATAAACTGAGGGATTACATGAATGGTCACTCAATAAAAGGGGTTCTTGCTACCTCATTAGTATCATGGAAACCAGCACACAGGGACTTTCCATGTGAAAACACACCTATTAATCAGTATTGCTCCCAAGCTGGTTGTAAATTACTCATTAACTACCAGTAATGACGCCTCATTGCCAGGCAATGTCCTAAATTACCTCTAGTTCACCATTAAAAAGGAGGGTGACATGTCCAATCACAACACATAGATTTAATTAAAATGTTATTATATTTTCTTTTTCAAAACGTTTTAATAGTGACTAAAATAATGACTAAAGGGCTGAAGGTAACACAGTTTGATCATAGCGGAGGTCACTGTCTGAACTGAGCATAGGACATGTGTACTTAATCACAAATTATAAAATAAAGAAGGTCATTAGCATAGTTTTACTTGACATGTCTATTAAATAATAGACTTTAGTTAGTCTGGAAATCTTTTACATAATATCAAATGCCAGACTGTCAAAGAAATCACCTCTTTTGTGAAGGTAGACAACGGCGTCAGCTAAGCTGCTGACGATATGCCTCGTCTCATCCTCTGTAAAGAACTTTTTCCGCTTCAACAGCTGCTTCAGATCACCTCCAACACACAACTCAGTAACCAAGTATGTCATCTGGGAAGAAACGCGGAAAATACATCTCATCATACTGTTCATTCTTGTTTGCTTATCAGTAATGTTTTTGCAGGGACACAACACTATAAGATTAGCTCCAGTCAAATTCATTGTGTCAATGTCTGCATCACAAATCCACACTCTTAGTCAGCCCTGCTTTGAGTTTGTTACTTAGGAGTGTGCAGCATAACTCACCTTAGCCGTGACATAGACTTCCTTGAGATGTATTATGTGAGCATGATTAACTCGCTTGAGAATGTTTATTTCATTCTCCAGCATCTCCACTTTCGAACTTCCAGGCTGAAGTGACAGAAAGTCAAATCACAGCTTGATTTTTTCACAAAACATTTAACTCTATTAGAAGTGCATCTTTTTATGACATTTAAAAACAGACTCCCCAGAGGGATTCCAAATGCACTCACCGCTGGTTTGCAAACTTCCTTAATAGCCCATTTTGTCCGTGTCTCGACGTGGATGGCTTCATAAACAACTCCAAAGCTACCTTGACCCAATTTCCTTCCACATGTATATATTTCCTATTGGGATAAGAGAGGAAACCTTAAAACACTTGTGTTCTACACCTGCTCACTGTCAGCCAGAGGCAGCAGAGGGTTTCCTTTTATAATGTGTTGAAGGCTTCTGGATGATTTTACAATTTTTGGATTACAAAAACAGGATGTTTTAGTTCAAGACCTGAATTCTGAAGTACATCCTGATTGCATGCTCACTGGAAAAACGATACATTCTCTGGGCTCTGGAGGTGCACAATATAGTATTTCTAATCAAGTAACAAATGATTAAGTTGCTGCTGCAGTTCGTTCAATCTCAGGTCTAATTAAGTTGATCATTATCTGTGTGCATGCAAGGGTGAGCACTGGCTGCTTCAGATTTTGCAAAGAGAGCAGTCAAATTCCCCGATGAATGAGAACTATACAGCAGCACAGTGAAGTTTAATCCCCTTCTTGTGCAGATGGTTTACATCAGAGAGTATTTGTAACTTCGTCTATTGCACAAAATAAGACTGTAGTGGTATAATGGAAGCTCTTCTTACTCTGAGGTCAGCATCATCCTCCAGGCGTAACACAGGCACAGCCCTCTCCAGTGTACCACTATTAGTTCCCGGAGACACCATGTTCATTCCTAATTCACTAACATCTGCCTGTGTCACCTAAAGATGAAAGAAGAGGGCAGTTGTCATGTATATCAATATATCGATATCTACTCATTATTTGATTACAATATTAAAAGCATGTATTTGACTTATCCATGAGTTGCTCTAATGAAGAAAAAAATAGACAAAGACATTCAATAAAACAAAAGAATAGTATTTTCTTTACAGTTCATTTTTCATTTTATTACATTACTGCTTGAAAATGTTTCTGTACTATGAGCATAATAACTGCTATTTTGAAGAAAAAAAAAGACATGATCATGAATTATAACTGAAGCGTATTCTTAGACATTTAGGCTAGCTCATAAATTAGTCATTAAGTAGTGTACAGAATGACTGAATAATTTCTTTCACTAGCTTAACTTTTCTGTGATCACTGGTTCATGAGCGATCTGCTGCGATGGGCTGAGCCTAACTAAGAAAACAGTCTCTGGATCCAAATTAAATGTATAGCAGTTATCAAGTGATGACTGGGAGCATTGAAGTGGATCCACCACATGCATAGCAATTAATTATAAACAAGGAAGCAGTGTCTTTAACCTCTTCACTCTGACGCATTATTGTAGCCCTGACAGGCCTCTCATAACAGGCCTGTCTCTCCCATTATCTCCTGTCTATTTTCCAATCAAAGTGATTGTGACAGCGTCTGGAAATTCCAATCACCTCAATCACAGCCCATTTGTGAAAGACAGAGGGATGTGATGAATCTATCACCGAGGACTTTAGGTAACCGGAGGAGGGGGGTCCCATGCACCTCAGGTGTCGGGTCCTTATCCCCAGACGCCAAGGCAAAGGTAACAGGATACCTCAGGGTCAGGTGAGGGTGAGAAGTCTGACCTTAAAAGGTGACTAACAGACAGGTCTGGAGTTGTTTTAAACCTCAAGTTGACATATTCAGTCTTGACAGCTGAGTTTTTAAAATTTCAGATCAAACTATGAGTCGAAAATAGAAATATTTTGATATAATTTTGCCATTATACAAAATACCCAGTACTCTTCTGATTTCAGTCCCAAAAATGTTTTACTTGTTTAGTTAATTAGTTGGTTAGTTATTGAAAGAAGGTTTAAAGCTGTGTATTGCTTAACTTGTATGGATGTGATTGTTCTATGGCTTGGCTCAGTACAAAAACAAGCAGAGCACCTACAAGACGAGCTTAGCTTCTTTGAACGAAAGTTTAGCACTTTATCATCTGATTCTGTATTTGCATCAGTTTCAATTAACTTAAAGCTCCAGTAAGGAGTTAATAGCTGGATGTGAAACTGACTGAAATGAATGCTGATGCCTCTACATGACCTACAAAAGCAAACAAAACCATCAGCACCAAGATTGATCATTTCTATATAGTCATTTGAAATGCACTCAAGAATTTAAACCATTATCAAAAGATTGCCTTAACCTCTGCAATCCAGTTAAAAATAACATCCTAACCTTTAATGTCACTGATTAAAGCTACCAGTTATTTTTACCCTCCAATAAAACTGCATATAGATGGTGGACTGTAACAGGCCTCACATTGCTCCCAAATCCCATCACTCTTTTCAAAGAAAACACTCGAAAAATTGCCATTTTGCTAATTAAATGATAAGGACATGATGCTTCTCTGACCTGTCACTAAAAAACATGGACAATTGTTTTTATTTCATGATCAAATTGCTGGAAATAAATATGGCTTTCACCCTTTGGGGGTGAGAATCCTGCCTGTGTGTTAAATAAAATGCCTTCCACTGAGACTAAATTTCCTGTCCTGTACTTTACAAACACTCACATGGAGGTTAATTAAGACTGCTTATTTTCTGCCTATTGACATAATGGATCTTTGTCTTTCTCATTACAGGTGGAGCATCAAAAAATCTATTATCATTAACTAATAACAAATGACGACTAAAAAGTAGTACAATACAAATTAACAATGTCAAAACAAAACAGTCTTCATTTTAAAAGATGTGATGAAAGATAAGCAAACATCACACCTCCCAGCCCAAAGGAGACAAAGTCCACCTTTTGCATCGAGTTTGCCTCATCTCCAGTTTCAGCAGGAAGTAATTAGAGCCGACAGTACATCACAAGTCAAGCCCATACATGTCTCATCTCTCCATCATTCTGTCAGACAGCAATGTCTATTTATTTGCACTACTTAGTGACTATATGGACATATTTGCCTGATGCATGGGAGTGTGTTGAGGAGACTGTCTCAAGGCTAAGCACACAGGAACAAAGTGAGTATGGACGTATAAAGGAGGACTCTGATACTGTGTAACTTTTGTGCCATTTAACATGCTTGAACATGTTTATGCTTTCTCCCACCTTTAATGTCAACAAGCCTGACACTAGCCCGTAGAGGCTGTACAGTTCTTTATATCTAAATGTGCAATACTCCGCAGCAGGTCAAAAACAAATTCTGATGTCTTTAAATGATACATACTAATGTTTGCTGATATACGGCGTGATTCCTCATCCACCAGTTATAAAGTGAGCCTGGAAGTAGAAAATTTTATCTTTAAAAAAAAAAAAAAAAAAGAGTCAATGTTAAATTAATTAACATCTGTTTCTGGCCTATAGGTCTTTAATATCTTACTTAAGATCAACTTTTACCACGGGGACCTCTGCTTCAATACATAAAAAATATTCACCTCTGTTACATCACAGCATTCCCCTAATTATCTACTTTCATTTGCCTACCTAGTTATACCTTGATTATTCCATTTTTTTTTTAATTTGTGTCAATGTGCAATGTAACTTGTAGTGGGAACATTTACACTGTTAATATAAGTTATTTAAAAATGTTGTGCAGAAAACAACTTCTACCGACTTATGTGTGAAGAAATCCTGATTTAATTGTTATTGTTAGAAATTAACCTTTTAAAAAAATAATAATAATAATAATAACTTTCATGTTTCTGGCCAAACAAAATATGTGAAGATTTCATCTTGGACTGCAGGATTTCAGACATTTTCTTTTTTTGTGTCTATTTATGGCATTTTTATTCAATTAATTGTAAAAAGTAATTTACATGTGTAAAAAATATTGAAATAGTTGTTAGTGGCACTTAATTTCTGGCATATGCTAGTTGAACAACTGCAGCATACCAAACATAACCATATCCTGCTTAAACTACAGTTTAAAAACAGTTACCCCTTTTGAATCTCAACCACACCATCAAGATATCACAAATTTCAGTCACTGTCGGGGGCCTTTTGAAGTTTGCTTTCCTTAATGGCATAACAAGTAGAATAAATTAGGCTTAAGCAGCTCTATAATGACGTCGCCTCTAGCTGTAACAAGCAGCCTCTTAAATATAGCCTGAATATCAAACAAAACAGAATCTTATTTACTGCAATTAAAATGTAAACTGCTATCCTTTTTGCTTGAGCCTAAATATCACATTTCCTCATGTGAAACTTAATCATTTATTGACAGCTTGGCTTTGATGACAAATGATAAACTTCACAGTCCTAATGAAGCGTGGAATTACATTACCTGATGAGGCAAGAAATTGCATGTTTAGAATGCAAATATAGAGCCCATCTACTTCACTACGTTATGAGGTGAATCCTAATATTATGCAGAGAGATTATCAAAGCTGGTGGTCTAAATGCAATATGCCAGGAGCACATCAACATTAAGCCATCAAAGCATACTAACACAGAGCTGTGCAAATATACCAAACCTGACAGTTGACGTGCTACAGTGCTGACAACAAGGAGAAGTTGCTATTCCTACACTCAGAAAACATGTAAGGTATGTTGTGTCCCTGTAAACAAATCATTTAAACCCCCCTTCGAGAACTACTTCTGTCTCCATTGGTCATGTTTGATAAGTGTCTATTGGCAAGAAAACGTGCTTTGCCAAAAGGAAGCAAAAGATCAAATTCTGCCATTTGCTCAGAGCTCTCCACGTGTTGCTTGGAGATAAGGGCCAACAAATTCAAATTTTCTCATTGGTTTAATCCCGGTTAAGGCTAATCTCTGCCCTTGCTGGGCTCAGCCTTGGGAAGCACGGAGGGCAGACATCTAAAAAAAAAAATGTAGGCCATAGCAGAAACAAGAACAAATCAAATTAATTTCAATGACAACCCAGAGAGAGCGCCGCATATTCATATGTGAATATACACAGATGTCCACACCTTTATTTATAAGTCATTTATATCCCACCTGCAGAGCTGAGAAATAGTTTAACCAGTTAGAACAAAATATACAGGTCAACCTTGTTATCCTGTATGAGCAACCAACATCTCCAATATAGGCTTTAACTGAATCAGAGGTGTTACAATAACAATGAAATGCTAACATTTTCCAAAAATTACCAGCGTTATGGAGCATGATTGATCCAACTAAGCCAACAGTTACATTACTGGTGATTCCTAAAATACTATCGTACACAGTAGAGACTGATAACCTGATGTTGACCATCGTATCATGATACAGCAAATGTAATTAATGCTGCTACTGTCAAGACGCAGAAAAGCTAAAAGACTGACAGTAATAACTAGTATTAAACATGACAAGTGTCGTCATGGCAACGAAACACAGAGTTGTGCAATGTTGTGTCCTTTCACGGTGCATAACGGGGTTTTTTAAAAACGCATTTCATATTTAAAGGTTCATATGTGAAAGGTGTCATTTGCTGTCTGAAAGTTTTAAGAAAAAAAAGTTGTCTTACCTCTCAGAGCAGGTCATTTCTCAGTGTGCAAGTTGCTCCTTGGGCAAAAAGTTTATCAGCGTGTGAGTACGGAAGACGAAGTGGGACAAGATACCAATGAATGAACAGCGCTTCTCTTTTTCAGGGTCTTTCAGCGCCCCTGGTGGATCTCGTGGGTCCACCAACATGAAGTACACTTAACTAAAAGATAAACATGACATAGGCAGGAATGCCATTCATTTTCTAAATTGGTGTCCACCACAGGTTCTCTTTTATAAAATCGGATGTGTAAGCAGCTTTTCCTCGTATCACCCGTTTATATAGGCTACAGTACAGTCTGAGTTTCCTTGGTCCTTG